AGAAATATCAAAATATAATGGCTTCCTCCTGAAGAAGTTTTATGGAGTGCAGCTGCCCAGCTGCTGGTGGGGGCTGCAGGGAGGGCTGTGTGAGGAGTGTCTGGGGCTGCCAGGCCATGGACACAGCCGGTTCCAGACAGCTCCAAGGCAGCCACAGCAGGGTTCAGCTGAGCCCTGCTGCCATGATGGCAGTGCCTCAGGGAAAGCATTTGTTCAGAAAGAGCAAAACACTCCCCATGAGCAATGAGTGAGGGAGAACAAGAGTGTGAGAAACAGCCCTGCGAACCCGGAGGCAGGAACAGGAGCAGAGGGGGAGGAGCAGCAGCTCCGATCAGATGCCCCCTGTAAGGTCCTAGAGAGATCAGGATGGAGCAGGGCAACAGCACAAGGAAGGAGTGTGAAGAGAAGTCGACATGGACTGACACCACGGCCAAATCTGCTCTGCCTGTGACAGCAGCTGGCAAGCAATCTCTCTGTCTTCATCTCAACACGAACTCTTCCATCCTATTTTCTCTCCTGCCTCACTGAGGATTGAGAGCAGCAAGCCATTGAGCAGTGAGCCAAGGCTAACCTATGGCAAAAGCCAGTACAAAAGCGACTTTTTGAATCACAGTGAATACGCCTGAATGTGTTTTTGGGCTAATCACAACCACAATGAGACTGTTTCATTGTCAGTGTACAATTCTAAGACATATTTGGCCACCCAAGAGATTACTGACAACTACAGGCAAGTCAGCACTTTTTCAGCCAAAGAACCACCAGCACAGGAAATGACAATTAGTTTAACTCTTTAACTATTAAACAACAAGCAAGTTGTATGTTAAAAACAAGTATCCAAAGAGTACAGAACACAGAGCAGTTGATATTGAACAAGAATAGTACTATCTCTCTTCTCCTTAACTAACTTGTCTACAATGAACAAGCTTTGCTTTTAACAATGGTAGATGATCACTTCTGGCTACAACCTCAAGTCATGCAATTTAGGAGGCTTTCAGCTATTCTTACTACCATGCATGACATTTTGAAATACATGGGTTCTTTAACAGGTATTAAGTGCCTGGCTAAAATCTTAGCATAAATAATTTTGCACTGTAAGAATCAATATTTGATTGACATAAATTCTAGACATTATTTGGAGAATCTACAGGTGCTGTTTTCCTACCAGCACTTCCTTCACCACCTCCCACTAGGGCAGACAGAATGGCTCAGGCTGCTTTTTACTACATATTTATTCAGGCTGCTTTTTACTACATATTTATTCTGTAAAACTCCTTAAAACAAATGCATTCTTTTCAAAATGACTAAAGTAATAACTACTTCCTTTAATTAAAATTTTAAAAGCAAAGAATTATTGCAACCACAAGTCTATATTCAGTCAAAGTGTAACATACAGAATAACTGCTAACTTGCAAACACAACACTATAATACACTCTTACATCCATCATTCTTCTCTTGCCAAGCAGTTAAGACATAAGTGTTCTGCACACATTAAAGGAGTGGATGCTATATCCATAAAAGTGAATTGCCTGGAGGGATGAAAAAATAAAGGCGTTGTTTTTGAAGGGAAGTAAGTAGCTCCTGTTCACTATCACTCAAACACAGAATGTCATTTGACCCCATAGTGATCTGTGAAAGACAGCAGAGGCCATTCTAACAGCCAGTCTTGCAGCTGGAACATTACATTTTTAAGTTTGGGTGAACAATCTTTATAATGCACCACATACAAACACATTTATACACCTATAACTGGTAACCAATTTGAAATCTATGCTTGGACTAACTCACCATTTATTGCCTGTAAAGATAAACCTGCCTTTTCAAGATACTTCCAAAGCTGTACCATTCCTGGCTGCACATCTCCAATAGCAGAGCAAGAAAACATCACAAAAACAAAGCCACTGGACTTCTGTCTCTTCCTCCACCTCAAAGGCTGAAAACGAGTGTCATCAGCCCCATCCTCCCCACCCTGGCTGAGTTAGGAAGCTGCCTTGGAAACCCACATGTACCCCAAGAAGGCAGTGCCAGACAGGCTTTACAATGTGTTGGGACCTTACTGCTGCTGCCACTTCACTTGTGACATCATTAAATAATCTTTCAGACCCACGTGTGCCATGCTGCCAGTGAGGCTCAAGTACAAGGAACACAGGGCAAAATCACACTGCCAGGGCTCCAGGAGCAGAGGGTACAGGCTACTATTTTTAGGGAGTGTCAATAAAATCCTTTTGATGTCCAACATTATCAATATTGGACAGGCAATAATGGACAGTAGAAAGAAGCTTGACTAGAGGTGGCACAGTTTACTACAAGTAATAAATATGTGTTACTTCATTTCAAAGAGGGCTTCTTTCACTTTCCACAGGCATCTGTTGGACACACATGGCCCAACCACATCTAGACCAGCACTTTCATAGTCTTAAAAGAGCTGTTAACCAAATGTGCATTTCAAAGGCTGGTCTAGATAAGTAAGCAAAGGGATTAAAATGCTGTATGCCCTTCACTGCAGTTATATTCCTGTAAAGACAGCAGTTACTCACATGCTTTAGAGGTACAAACTATGCTGCAACAAGTTCAAGGAGACTGAAAGACTTAAGTCAATCATATACATTTCAAATTTAATTTTTCAGCAATTTAATTTTTCAGGACAGGCACTGAGACTGTAAGGAGCTGAAATTATTTTGCATGAGCAGCAAACTGTGTCATTAAATTCACTGATTATATAAGAAGAATATTATATATCTAAAAAAAAATCTCAGTGGGATAAAAACAAGACAGCAATTTTTTTTTTCAGAGAAGGCACTCCTATTGAACCAAAAAGCAACTACCATGTCGAAATGAGAAGAAAGAGTAAAACTGAAGGTCACAAATTAAATATGCTCCAAAAGTGTCCTTGCCTGTTACATTTTAAGATAACCAGAATTAATTTGCATCTATTACTAAAAAACTCGTAATTCCCCTGTGTAAACAGAATAACTCAGTAAACACCTAGCTTTGTAAGGGAATTATATGATTTTCAACTGTATGATTTCCAGTGATTTTCAAAAGTAAGACTTTTAAATACCTATATCCATAGGTAACAAAAGTACAACTAGCAAAATAGAAGACTTTTCAGTACAAAAAGATGTTTACCAAGAATTATCAAGTTATTACTGTTATACTCCCACACCAATTGGAATCCCCATCAAGTAGCTGCCATTAAAGTATTAAACATAGGAAGAAAGGTTCCTTCAGCTTAAGAAATAAGTGCCTAAACTCCTGCTTCCTCGTAGGACACTACTGTTCTGCTGTTAAATACTTTTCCCATGAACAGCCTCTTTAGGAAAAAAATAAAAACACCTAGCATGGTAGTAACAACAGCATAGGGTCTTAGTAGCTGTCATTCCTTCAATAAAAATACCTGCACGGAGCTAATTAACTTCCACATCTTCAGACAGATTACAAACCACACAAAACAGCTTCTCAACTCTTTCCCAGTAGGAGAGATGAAGGAGGGCACTCCTCAGTTGGAAACTATAATGCAGACATCATCTCTCAAGGTTAAATCTCTATCTACTTGCCTTCTAATTAACCACCGCTTTCTGTTAGTTTATCCTATCTCAAATTAGATCTTTTTTCTACCTGTTTTGCTACCTTACACCTCTACTGCTTACAGAGACACATACATTTAAATACCCAGGGTTAATACAAGTTCAAAAGAAAAGAAGGGATGGGGGAGGAACTAGAGGCAATACACAAAATTTGTTCTCCAGTCTTACAGTCAATTCTGACAAACAAGCAAAGCAAAACATTAATTCAGTAATTCACTGGAATTGCTGATAAATACAACGCAATACTAAAGCACTTTATGTGCCCCAAACAAAAGGGAAAACAATGTATCAAATATCACAATCTAAAGTTTTCTGAAACAAGTGAAAAATGAACACTAACAACCTTTGTAATTGTCTGAAGTTAGTGTCAGAGTACATGGTGATGATATAACCTTTTAATATTCCTGTCCCAAAGACAAATAATCAAGAATTGAAACATCCTAAAATCCTGCAGTTTCCATCAAATTAACTGAAATCTCCACACCTATTGTTCAGAATACCCACTATCTTTGCAAGCTGTAGTACAAAGATAATGCAACTCCATTCTTCTGCAGGAAGCACGAAATAGTTTTTTAAAATGCTTCAACAAGGGAAACGTATTATACATAGAAATTAATAATCAGAGTACAGAAAAAAAAGAACAATGTCTTCTTTCACCTTATAGGGATGAACATTAGCCTACTTGTAGAGATTCAGGCAGCTGCTAGGAATGTCTTAGCAGCTCTTGTATTTGCAAGAAAAACCCTGTCAGTTGCAAGCAAAACAATCTCACCATTTAAATATGTCAGCTAACTGTATACACATTATACAGTCATCTTTTGTGAACCCAAAGTTAAAACATAAATCCAAATTTCTATAGGAGAGAAATTACTCCAACAGCACCACTTTGCACTTGCAATGGCAGAGCCAAACCACAGACCTCCACTTGTGATCAATTGCTCCAATAAATCAAAACATGACAAAATATTTGCAGAAGCCCTGCCAAAGTAAGACAGGTGATACAGTCGGTAGTACTTTCAAATCCTAAAAAAGGCATCCTAAAGAGCCGGTGCCTTGCCTTACCTTACCTTTGCCCAAAAGCAACGTTCACACGGCTCTGCAGCCAATTCACCGGTTTTGCTCTGCCAGTTTGACAGCCGTGACACGGGAAGTCAGCCCATCGCTTGCACAGAGGTGTTTCCCCTGGAACAGCCTAACTCTAAGCATTAACATTTCAACGCAGCCCTGCCAGCCTGCAGGAGCTAGGCTCTAATTAATCCAGAGACAGAAAAGTGGTGGAGAAAAAAAGGGAAAGAAAAAAAAAAAAAAAAAAACAAAAAACAAAAAAAACCAGGACTCGACCCATTTGTTCCGGTCTAAATTTACAACGAAATTTACAAGAGAAGCACGCTTCCAGACTCTGCTTAAGGGTATACCAACATAAATCGGGGATGGAAGAGAAAGCTCAAAACATGGAAACGGATTATGTAGGTTAAGCTCAGCTTTTGTCATCCGCTTCGAGGTCCAGCTAAGGAAACGCGGAGCCCCCGGCTGGGGCCGATTCGGCGCCAGCGGCCCCGGGCCGGCCCCCGCGCCCCCTCGGGGCGCCACGTCCCGCTCCGGGCGCGGGGCAGGGGCCGCGCCGCCTCCCGCGCACGGCGGGGACGGAGCCGCTTCCTCCGGCGTTCCTGCGGGGACCCGGGAAGGAGCCGGGCCGGGCCGGGGGAGGGGACGGGAAGCGGCGCGGGCCCCTGTGCCTCCCCCCCGCCCTAGCCCCTTCCCTCCGTAGCGCTCCTTACCCGCCTTGTAGCCGCGCAAGCCGGGCTGGGGGTGCAGCCCGCCCCACATGGTGCCGCGCCGGGCCGGGCCGGGGGACCGCCGCTCTCCGGCGGGCGGGCGGGCTGGCGGCCCGGATGGGCGGTGGAGGCGGCCGCTCCCGCTGCCGCTGCCCGGGGAGCTCAGCGGGGCGCTGCCGCCGCGGCGGGGGCTGCTGCCCGCCCCAGGGGCGCCGCGGCCATGCTGCCGGCGCTGCCGAGCGCGGTGGGACCTGGCCGCCCCCTCGCCGAGACAAAACTTGCTCTATTGCGCTGCCGCCGCCGCCTCCTGCCTCTCCGGCGCTGGCAGCGGGGCGGGGACAGGGGCGGGAGCGCCGCAGATGCGGCGGCTGCTGCTCGGGGACGAAGCGCTTACATAACCCGGCCCACGGGGCGAGCTGCAGCGAGGGGCTGCGGCGGGGGGCGAGTCCACCCCGGCCCGGCCCAGCACAGCACATCCCGGCCCGGGCTGGTCCATCCCGCCCCGCTCAGGCCCCCCCGGGCCGCGGAGCTGGTTTTGGGCTCGCTTTTGGGCGTGTATGCGCCGCCCGTTCACCCCGGGCTCGGGAAAGGGGCAGCGGCGTGTGCCCGTCGCCGGGGAAAGCACTGAACTGACAGCACTTAGCGTGGTGTAAAGGCAATCGGAAAAGGAAAGCGAAATGCCTGAGTTGCGGCATTGGAAATACCCAAGGTCAGTATGCACAGACCTTAGTAAGCAGAGTTCAGAATAAAATCACTCTTTTCCCCTACTTATATATGTTTTAATAAGAAAAAGATGTGGAAATCAAGAATCGTGACATCCGTTTGGACGATCAGTTCCACCAAAAGATCCACAGTAACATCAAAAAGTTTAAGCCACAGGACTGGGAACAAAATGCTCGTGTCAGCAATAACTAAAACCCAGTAAGAGGCGCATCCCCTCTCCACGCTGCTTTGAGTCTGCTCCAAATACTTCAAAAGACAATTCTGCAATAGCAGCCTTTCTGTTACTGCTGCTTGCAACTGCAGCCCAGTGGGCCCCGTGTAAACTGCTTTCTGAACAAGACCCTGACCCAATCAGCAATCCACATTATCAGACAAAGGGAAGGAGAAAGCATTTGGACAGCTTCTAACATCAGCATAGCCATACCAAGATTACAAAATGCACACCCACCAAAAGAAGAAAAGCAATGCTTCAGACAGCATTGTAGATTATGATGGACATGATAGTTTAGGGAGGTGAGGTGAAACAAGATACATTCTGTGTTTGTGTGGAGACATTCACAATCAATAAAAAAAAACTGTATTCAAACATTTCCTGCTGACCCAATGCATTTTTAATTAGTAGCTGGTGATCACAGAACAGCTTTCATCTCTTCGGAAAGTTATATATTTTGTTTCAGCACAAGACATGTTTTATTTATGCCTAGCTTGGTATTCATAACGTACTCAATAAAACAGGCCTCAGAAGTACTGGCATGAGCATGTAGAAATGCTGCATGTTGTTATTTCATCCTCTTTCTTATCTGTATAATGCCCTTGCACATTCACTGAAGACCTGACATAATGTGCATTCCTCACCAGCTTGTTTTAACTTCAGAGTGTCAGTGGGTGTTCTGTAGGTAGAGTTGTAGAAACACAGACTTTAAATGTTACCAAACACTGAATAAAAACCCAAATAGTAAAACTGCAGGAGATCCTGTCTCAGACTGTTGCTGGAAGTCCTTGAATGGTGAAAGGTCAGAAGCATTTTCAAGAAGCCACAAATACTGGTTTATAGCAGAACACCAAAGCAAGAACTAAATTTTCGTTATCACCACCTCAGTGAAAGTGTCCAGCCTTCAACCCTGAAGCCAATGTCAATATTGAAGAATATTTGCGAGAGAGATGCATGGTAGGTAAACATGAATATTAGAAGAAATAATAAAAGCTAAACTATATTGCAAAACTTTGAAGACAAACACATAAACAGCTTAGTTCAAGGCCTCTTTAAAGGACTTGACTGTGTGTAACATTTGTAGCATACTATTTTGTTGGATTAGCTTGAGTACTTAGCATATTTACAGGAGGATATGGTGAGCTGTAAGGAAGCTGAATTTTAAGATGGGGAAGGTGTCTAGCTGCAGGCTAGAAGAAAAATTGCCTCATGACTGCTAAGCTCTGGAGTTTGTGGTGCTGTCCTGACATACAGCTGCAAGAACCAGAGGCATAGCATGACTGCAAGAAAGCTATATGCATAGAAAAGGTGTGGAAACTGTTCTTCTATCTTCTAATAAATGCCACTGCAGTGGTTTTATGTAATTTGTATTGTCGTTCATGGAAGCTTTACAGTTTCTTATGTATCTCCTGTCTAGCCATGAGCAATACCACAGATGAAAAGAAAAGATCAAAAGGCTGAGATGAGGGTGGCAGAACACATTCAGATAGCCTGGCTGAATCCCCTCCAACCATAGGGCTGTGTCTTCCAAGGTGTCCCCACTGGGACATGTGTGCTTAGACAGTGCTACTGCTCAGAGCAGAGATAAAAAACCAACTGTGCTTAAGTACAAGCGGTCAGATAGCAAAACCTGAGACACTTTCATTGTTATGATTGGATTTTAAGTTATTTTTATAGAAACTGAATGTAATTAGTAAAGCTTTTTCACTACTAATAACCACAGTGTATCTGTCTGGAAACCAGGCCCAACTGAAGCCAGTGGTTTTACTCTATAAATAAATTTTTAGGTTGTTAATGCTTTATTCTTTATCCAGCAATGTTTTACAGCTGCAGTCTGCTTCTGTATCCAGTTCTAGACCTGGAGCAGTATTTGGTTTAGATTTTCAAAAATCTCTTGAAAAATTATGATGACTGGTCTGGACCTCCTGGGATAAAAAAAAAAAAAAAAAAAAAAAAAAGAGCTTATGCCATTTAATGCTGCTGAAGCAATCCTCTATTTTCATGTGGATCTTACCTTGGGGGACTTGCATGAGAGTAGAAACATGGAGGCACTAAAGTTGGAAAAGACCTCTAAGATCATCCAGTTCAACTGCTAAGCTTGTCACCTCTTACAACTCTTGGGCTGATAAGAATTAGGAGTGTGAAAATCTGTGTTTCAGTGCTGCCTCAGTCAAGGGGGGTATCAAGGTCCTGATACTCGTGGAAAGCAGCAGCACAGTGTGAGGGGAAACTCATGTAACCTTACACGTAAATAAAACCATAAGTGGAAACAGTCTGCATCCCCAGGTAATTATAGTGAAATTTGATGCTCCAGACAGTGAATGGACTCAATTTCTTAGTGTCTGAAAAGCCTTCTCCCCACCTCCTTTTTTTTCTGACACAAACTCCACCTTCTTGGCAGAATGAACAGAGGAAAAAGACAATAGAAAGTAACAGTTTAAACACTGGTGCTAGGCAATGCAGTCTCATTAAGGTCGGCTGGAGTACATCTTATCCAATGGTCTGTGGATCCAGATTCAGAAATCACATCCCTTTTTTTCCCCCCCAGTAAAAACATAATGCTTGAAGTGGAGTTAAGCTGAAGCATAATCTGTGAAAGCAGCGTTTTCTTTTGATTAAAGCCAAAAATAAGTTCAATGTTTCTTCTACACACTTGCTTTCACATTTAATAAAATTAAAATTTTATTAAAAAACCCAAATGCCAATACCTAAACATTGTTCTAAGAGAATGCAGACCATTTCCCTATCCAATTAAGACTTTAGGCATGTGTGCATTCTATCAAAAAACAACAGTGGTATTTCTGCAAGCATATCTACATTGTAAATTACCTTGAAATTAAAATCACAAATTTTCAGTTATTGAGTTGCTTCACTAAGTACAGCAATTCTTTCCCTCCACCCACAACTTTTACAGTTGAACACTGTGTCCTAGCAAAGTCTTAGCAGCCTTTAAGAAGCCTTAGAACAATTCCTCTTGTTTTCCAAAAAAAATAACTATGTATGTTACAAAGCAAGATATTAAACTGGATTGGGAGTCAGTATAATTAAGAACAGATTAGTTTACCTAAGGAACTGCACACCTGCTGGTAGGGGCATGTTGGCCTATAAAAGACTGAAATGTTTTGTTCAAAGTGCACAGAGTGCACTGCACAGCATTAACAATAAATTGTGTCATCTAATATCTGCAAAGTAGGCATGGTGAGGTAACACTATGTATACAATGTTTTCATTTTTGCCTTTTCTACAAGCAAATGAGAGTGCACATGTCTCACAGAGGAGCACAAGTGGATAGCAGTTTGAATCTGCTTTGCACTGTGCTTTTAATAACAGCTTACACCATGGGAAAGAGTCAAAACAGGCAGCTCACTGTTACTATACCTATAAACATAGCTATGGTTTATTTCCAACATCCTGAAATTGCAGATTCTTCTTAATGTTCCAGCTTCCAGAGTCAGATTTTCACCTGAGAAATTATTTACATCATTGCTCAAAGACCTTTTAGTGTCAGGAATTTTTCACCTTTTTTTTTGTTTGGGTGTGTGTATCATATTAATTTAAAATAAATCACAGAGAAATTAAATCAACTTTGTGTTATCAATTCAGATAGTGCAGGAAGAACAAATGCAGGAGTGGCATCCAGTAACTTATGAAGATAAACAGGATTTTCCCAGGTGTATTTTTCTCAAGGGGAAGTTTTTTGAGTTCTGCTATTCTATCTTCCCTTTCCTCCATCCTTCCTTCTTCCCAAAGGCAGTAGAAAAGAAGAGGAAATATAAACAGTTTGGGAGCAGATGGAGAGAATATGTATAATCCAACAGGCTGGAGGCAGGTCTTCTCCCAGGCTTCCAATTTGGTTCCTATAAAGTTTAAGTGCCTCTACCAGAGCAGCCAGGGAGCCTCTTCCCCTGGACTCACTGACATATCCAGCTTTCTTGCAAGACATCACGCTTTCACTAAAAAATATTTTTTAAAAATTGTTTCTTTTACTCTACTGCATGACTTTTTCACAGAATCTCCAGTTCTCTTGTTCTTGAGCCCCCTTGAGTCACCCTTACTTTCTGTGAACACACTCTCTGATTTTAGGAGCACCAATACTTTTTGCATTTGTTTCTCTGTGC